CAGCGAGGCCAGAGAGCACCTAGCTCCTGTTGGATCCCTCCCCACTCCAAGCTGAGCAGGGTGGCTCTGGGGACTGTGGGTAAAGGAGCCCTGAGACATGCCTGAAGCCAGGCTAAGCAGTAAGTGGGCATGTAGGACACATACTGCCTGGAGCAGGGGCGCTCCCAGGAGATGGAGAGGTGAAGGCCGGGGGCTAGTTGCATCTGTGTGAGGGGGCAGATACTCAGTTACACTTGCCCTCCGTGTCGTGCCTCCAGGCACAAGGTGAGCACACGAGCACTCCCCACCAGTGATTTCAGAACGGTGGCTCAGAGGAACTGTGTCTAACACAGTCCACCGGGACAGTGACAGGAGACCCCTGCCCCAATGCGGAGCAGGGAAGCTGTCAGAGCACAGATCAGAACACCAGGGTTCTGGGCTCCCGGCCAGTGCTCGTGTGATCAGGTTCTAGCATCTAGACTGCGCCCCTCTCTTTCATGGAGAGACCACGGAGAGGTCCAGCTGATCCCCACTGAGGACTCTGCCACTCCTTAAAACGTGCCGCACGCAGCTTGGCTCAGCTCGCCCCCGGTTTGCTCTTCCTGCTGCCTGGAGACGAAAGGTCTTGGGGAAACTGGCAGGGAGGTGGCTGCTTCTCTTCCCAATGGGCGCTGTCCGGGGTTCTCTGCTCAGTGTCCCCATCCGGCTCCCTTATTTTGAACCTCTAGCCCGCACTTCTTGATCCTTTAGTCATTATTTGTCCCAAGCAATCAGTTGAACATGGGTCCAGTGTCCCTCCCATAAGGTTGGGGATTGGCTTTTAGAAGGTGGGCGGGCTTTGCCCGCCCACCATCCCATGATTTCAAATAGGTCTTCCCAATGGCATTTGTGAATCCCTTTGACTCTTTCTGAAATGCTGCTTCACCGATTCACCCAGCAAGGTTCCCCTGCCCCCATGACCACTCCCAGAGAGGGCTCCTCTCTTATGCAAGGGCTTGCCAACATCTTCAGCGTGCAATAGGGATGTTAGATATTGTGTAATTGAATAGTTGTGCAACCACATGAAATCTTAGTGGCTACACGACTATCCAGTAGTCCCCGGGGGCAGAGCCGGCAGCCAGTGCACTCCCAGCCCCACTCCTGGGGAGTTCCCTGCCACTCTATCAGAGGCAGCAGCATGGGGTGGCAGGCGGGAGCCAGTCTGTGAGTGAAGCCAGTTTAAGCTCCCTGTGCAGACCAGTTGCCTGGCACCCCACACTACTGCCTCTGATACAGAAACAGCAACACAGGGTTGTAGCAGCCCCTGTCCATGGGGATCTGAGTTTCCTGTGGATGGGGGCTGCTGCCACAGACAGATGTTGCTTTGCGGCAGCGTCCCCTGGCCCCTACCCATGCTGTTGCCTCTGATAGAGGCAGCAGTATAGGGTGGGGGGGCGGATAGGAGGCACCACAGAGCTGGTACTGGGGGGATCTGACTTAAACTGGCTCCCCCCAGCACCAGCTCCTGCCTGCCCCCTTGCTGCCTCTATAAAAGAGGTGGGGGGGGGGAGGGAGTGCATGTAGTTGACAAGATTGCTACGCCCAGATTAACCGTGTAGTCAAGTACACATTGACATCCCTAGTGTGCAAACCACATCCAAGTAGCGATGACCTCAGACACCACCTCCCCTTGCAACCACACGGACCAGCCTCCCTTCCAATGGGCAAACACGCAGCCCTCCCCCCATCCACAGCTGCATGAACTCCATGTCCCTTCCACCTGCAAACACCTCCCCAAGCCTCTTTCCATGGTGCTTGGGGATGTTGGTGTTGACCACTCTTGGGTCGCAGAGTGGATTCCATGAAGCTCAGGAGAAAGCTCTTGTTTATTCAGTGGGAAGAGGAGGTCCGATTTCTCTACATGGCTGTCCAGCCTATGCTTCCCCACTTGGGAGACAGGACTCTGCAAACACTTCAGTTGTGCACTGTCTGTGTGGTGGACTAAAGTAGGTTTGCACACCTGGCTCTTGCAGCTTTTCCATGCAGTGAGTGACTGAAGGATGGTGGAAGCTCTAGCCGAGGTGAGTGTGGAGGGGGGCAGGCTTACTTCACTAAAGGCAAGGAGGGTTTGAGAACTGTCTCCACTTGGCAGTGCCTTTGAGGAACCACGGATGGATGCTTTGTGGGCATCCTGTCTGCACACCATGTGATGTGCGCTCTGGGACAAGGGGCAAATCTTCACAGGATCCGAGTCCATTGGGATGATTTCCTGAAGGTATCTCCATCTATCAGCCCTTCTCTGGCGCTGGAAATGCCACAGTGCTTCCAGTGCTCCTTGTGTTGAGTGCCATTGACTAGGTAAGTGTGTGGAGAGAAGAGCTGGGTTAGGGGTGGGCTGGTTGGCTTAGGAACTCATACATAGCCACAGAGCCTTTCACCCGTAAGTCACCAATTCAAAGACAACCATGGTAGGAATGGATAGGAACTCAAAGAGATTTCCATCCGAAAGCTGCTTGGTGCCCTTTGTAAAATGAATCTAGCAGGCTCAGTGAGGTGCCCACATCTCAAAACCCACCAATATAGCTGCTCCTGTGGCAGCAGTCCAAAAGCTTGTGTGTTCTGTTCTGTTCATTCCTTTTGGGACACCAGGCATTGGCCACTGTCTGCAGACAGGATACTGGGCTAGCTGGACCTTCGATGTGACCCAGCATGACTGTTCTTATGTTCATAAATGCTCGTTAGCCCAACTTTCTCCCAGTGGTGGATTAGCCAGTGAGCCAAAGGGGAGTATCTAGGGGCACCACCCATGTGGGCAGCACTGGAAAAATGGGCATCCTCGTGCCCCCACCAGCACAGAGCCCCCACCTCAGTGTTCCAGCCAGGAAGTGGCAGCTAGAGCGGAGCAAGGCCCCAACCGCACTCCGTGGTGGGAGATCAAGAGCCAAATGAAAAGGTCCAATGGGCTGGATTTGGCCATAGTTTGCCCATCTATGGTTCTAACCAGTGAGTCACACTATGAGGTTATGTTCTATCTACTGAGGCTCTTCTCTCGATGCCCATCGCCTTTATTATTGTTATTGTTTGCACTGCAGAAATGCTGAGAAACCCAAAGTGAGAGTGAGGTGACACTGTGTTAGGCGCTACACATACACAAACTATACTCGCCAGATAAAAAACTGCCCCCACCTCAAGGAACTTACCACCTATATACAGACAAAGCAGGTGTTAGCTTATAGTGGGGGAGCCGAGGCAGAGAGATTTCTGGCCAAGCAGGGCACTGAATCCAGATCTGCTAAGACCCAATCCACTTCCACAACACAAAACCATTCTTCTTCTCTGGGAAATCTCAGAGATACTCCCTTGCCACCAGGCGGTGCGAGAGCTTTAGCCAAAGAAAGCACAAAGCACGCAGCTAAAAGATATTCTCTTACAGTTTATTTTTGCCTGCAATTATTTCACATCTCTTTGTACACCGCTACAGAACAGTAGTAAACCATTGGTAAAAGCAACAGTGCTAAGGAAAAATGTTGGCATATTTTTTCTTTTTGCTCTTTCTTTTCTTCCCATGCTGTGTTCTTTTACAGTTTGGGATTTGAGGGAGAAAAATATATATATCTGTCACACTGAGTTAAGACTTAAACCAATTTCTCTCTCTCTCTCTCTCTCTCTTTTTTGGTAAGAATATTTGGACAGGGTAATCTACCTAGCAACAAAGTAAAAAACCAAAACCCATAAAATAAAAAGCCCCCCAAATAAACCACCCCCCAACAAAAGCCTGGCTTCCATTGAAGATTATATATATATTTATATATTTATATATAAAAAATTACATTGGCTGTATGTTAAATCTCGAGGTGCTCAAGAGTAAAATAACAGTGCTAAACTGAAAGAAAAAATTAAAAAAAATAAGCTGTTCTGTACAAGAAAGGCTCATTATGAAAAAAGCCAACAGTATATTTATAAAAAGAAACCACAATTTTTGTTTTCATTTTCTAAGCAACTGTAGAGGAGGGGGCGGGGAGGGGGGATTTGGAAAGTAGTGGTCACATGTACAGACAGGGCAGAGCCATTAGATCAGGAACAATGGTATTTTCTCAGTCTCCCAAGAGGAAAAAGCAAAACAATGTGTGCATAATGAAATGAAAGGGAAAAAA